GGGGGTGGGCAGGGATGGAGTGCTGCCCCCCCCCCCTCCGTACCCCCGCCGTCTCCCAGGAATGGGGGGGGGGGAGCAGCTTGCCCCACCATCCCCTCTGACCACTTCAGCCAGCACCCTATGCTGCCACCACCTGTAGGGAGCAGGGCCAGGGGGGAGGGCAAGGCCAGTGGCCCAATCCATCACCCCCCCACCTCTGGTCTCTACATCCCCACCGTCATGGCGGTGCTTTGCTACGCTGCTGCCCCTGCCTGCTGTCCAGAATGCTCTTGGAGCACTCTGATTGGTTGTTTCAGAAAATAAAGTGTTATGGACAGACAGACAAACTGACTGAGGCTTTTATAATATCAGAATATTTAAGACCAGATAATGAAAAGGATTATAGACTGTGAGAAATACCTCCTTAGAGTGATGTTGGAGCCATAATAGTCCAGGAATCATGCAGGAGGCAGGGATTTTTTAGGATTATATCTTTTATTGGACTAGCTGCATAATTAGGAAGAGTTAAACAAGAAAGTGTCATATGATTATTTATTTATATATTTTTTCTTCTCATTTCCTGTCTTGTGAGGATATGTTTCTCAAACTCAGATACTATCTACTATCTGAATTAGTGTTGTTGTATCAGAACACACTGAATAATTTGTACACCCCGCATCCCACCATATACCATGTATAGATGGTAGGGTTGCATTGATGCAGTGCTCTTCCTGGAACAATTGGGGGCCATTACATGCAGCACATATCTCAAGCAGGCACCACTTGCAGAGTGGGTCCCCAGACCAGTTGTGGAAGATGTCTCGCTTAGTGTGGATCCCAGACTGGGAGGAGTAGGTGGCATGTACAGCACACATCCTGGGACCTGCATTGCATTTGGCATCCATACCGGCCAGTCTGGGACCTGCACTGCATGTAGCACACAGCACACTGCCCTCCAACCCCTCCCCTCCCACCAGTTCAGAACCCCCATTGCATGCAGTGCATTCCCAGACTGGGCAGGGGGTGGGCGCTAGATGTGGCATAGATCCCAGACTGGCTGGGGTGGGCACCACACATGGGGCCAGATAAATTTGACACCCTTGTTCCAGGAAATATGCCTGAAGAAGAATGTATTGCATTTGAAAAGTTTTCTAAATCTATTCCAAACAATAAATATTGGACCAATAAATGATATCACCCAAACATATACAAATTATATACATACACACACAAATTATATATATAAATAAATAAAAGAGTGTGTGTGTGTGTGTGTGTGTGTGTGTGTGTACACACACACACACTGCACCATTAACCACTTCACCAATCTACCACCTATAAGACAATTACAATATCTCCAAATTTTGAATAGCATCCCAAAATACCTTCAGGAAAAAAAGAAAAAAAATCAGCCTATGAAGTTATCAATGGGCTCTGATCATGTATTTCTTCCAGCACTTGAAAACAAATAAGCTAGACAAAGCTAATAATAAAAAGAAATGGCAGAATGACATTTGGGAATGAAAAATACAGCCTGAAAATTGAGCAACAGGTTTATGACGGAGACCTGTTAAAAGGTGGGATAGTCTTAAAAGAGAAGTGGTGGGAATTCCATCAACTAGATTAAACAAAGCTTAAGAACTATCTGAAGCGAGCAATCTTGAAGAAGTAAACTGCAGTTGGTTTAACTTAATTGGCCTTTTTTCCTCCCTTTCAGTTGTGTGTCACACAAAAAAAAAATATTTGGTGCATCTAGTATGATGACACTAATTCAGATAGTAGACAGTGTCTGGTTTTGAGAAACACATAACATCACAAGAAAGGAACTTACAAGAAAAAAGGTACCCAAATGTTTTCCTTCCATGCACGCCACTTTGGAAGCCATGCCTTATAGTTGGCTTCAATGGGATTTGTGAGAGTAAATGTTTATAGGATCAGGCCCTAGCCAGTCAAGCATTAAAAGTGCTGTGACTAAACGTAGAAATAAAAAAGGAAAGTTAGAACTGCAAACTCTATTTTCTTAGTGTGAATAGCTTATGCTGAGTCATCTCCCTTTAGGCCAGATAGTGCTCACACAAACTATATGATAATGAGGTAAGCTTCACAAATAGAAGGCACAACCTTCGTAATTAGTTGGGGAGATGGATTGAAGTGAATGAAATGGGGGTTTGTTGGCTCTACTGCCAGATGCACAGAAGCTTGTCTGTTTTAAACATTCACTACATCTCTGAGTGTGGGGTGCCCTACCCACAACACTGGTCACCCACTGAGAGTTTGAATTGAATTAGGTTACATTATAATTGGATTTTCCTTAGGCATTGCATTAGCATTTTCCATGATCTCACCCTTATTAGCCAAATCGCTAATCAGGAGTAGTATGGGTATATTGTTTGCTAGTTAAATTATCTGCTGCTACAGTTTCTGGAAGCCAACTTTGTACCCACACAGAGATAAAACTCTTTTCTGTACCTTTAATGGATATTTGGGGTTTATTCCATAGCTAATGTTGCAATGGAACTCAAGAGTTTTAAAAGGTAATGAAAACATTTTCTCCAGAGAATGGTTAGTTTGGTGTTTTGCTCATGCTTTCATGTTCTGTGTTAAAACATAGGGGTGATTTTTCTCCTTGATAAAAGTGAAGTGAAGGCAAAGACAAAGTGGTCAAGGAATAAATTTAATAGCAGAGAAGTCCTTTCCCATGCATTTTTGTCTATTGTGCCCAAGTTGAAATACTGCTAACATTTAAAGTTTTATGTTTATTATTGTAATACAACAGGAATCGAAATGGATTGTTATTCATGTGGGAATTATGCTGCATAATATTGTAGAGGCGCATAGGTTCACCTGAAAGGCTTGCCTTGGCCCAATTTAGGAAAGGTGTGATATTAGAATCATCTTTACAAATATAGGACTGGCTAGGTACATCCATTGGACATTTGATGTAGTTTACTACCAACCATGCCCCTGATTCAAGGCAGATTTCCAACAAGCTGTGGTAGAATCCCTGTAAAATTTTTCCTGTTAAAAATATGAAGGGAAAGAGATAATCCTGTAAATAGGTTGCATCATGCAGTATCATACATAAACTACAGTAAGTATGATTTCAGTTAGATACATTAGTTTTATTCTCAGATTCGAGATCAAACAGTTATATTTAGAATTATTAATTGATAAAAATCCCTCATGGAAGTAGAAACCTGTTTTCATCGTCAATCTAAATCCATTAAATAGTTCCTTTAATATTCTATTTACATGTATATGTACATACAGATAATATTATAATCATATTCTGCATATACACTAGGCTTGAAACAACAAGAATGCTAGCCTTGACTTAAATGAAAGAAGGCTCAGTCTCTATTATTCCATCTATGCCACCTCATTTATCTTACAAAGGCTGTTGAAATGATAAGCCAGACTTCCATTTCATTAGAGAACTCATATGCATTCCAGACTTAGAAATGAGTGCAGAACTCACAATGGCATAAAGTAATTTTTAGGAATCAAATAAACTGGATTTTTACACTAGACCAGGACATTAGTGTCCTTAAAGTTTTGTAGTCAAATCCAATGCAACTTTCTCTGAATCCCCAGTCACCTTACATGTCATACCATAACCACTTTTAATAAATTTCTGATAACCAAGATAGCTAGTGTCTTTCCTCAGAAGAGGAATATTTTCCCATCCAGTTTAACTGGATCCTGAGGATCACAGGCTATGAAAGATCTGCTTCTCCATAACCACCAGAGATTTTTCCAGGTATAGGTAACAGGCACTAGAGAGAAGCGATGGAGGGGAAAAAAACAATTAATAATGAAGTCACAAGGCTAGCTCTCGGTCTGTTGTCTGCCCTTCTCTAGGTCACGTGCTGTCAGTGATGGACTTCTTTCTTCGAGGAGGAATCTGTAAATAAATTAAAGCATTTTTAATTGAAAAATACAAAGAAATTGTTGACTAATTTCCCTTTAGTACCATATCTTTTTGACTCTCCATTATTAGAGTCAAAGTTTTATGTTGTCCCAAACTTACAGTCCCTCCTGAGTTACAATATATAGAAGGAAAAGTAAGAAATGGGCAGGAATGCTGTAACAATGGCTAATAGTATCTAATAAACTTACTGACCTATTCATAAGGTTACCCAATACCTAGGAAGGCCTAACAGGCCACAGCCTTTCCTCTTGTGTCAGTCATTTACATTTCTATAAAGTCAGAGTAAAATACTGCCATTCTCATTTGCCCAGAATGCAAACACTACACAAGAAATGAAAGTAAAGAATCAAGTATTGATTCTTTCAAGTACCATATAAAATCAAGTACGATATGATTTATGAAATCTAATAGTGTCTGTTATTATCTGTTGTTCAAGCATCTATTAGTAACTCGCATGAAATAGGAAAAAAATATAGTCTTAGAAAGGAAAACATGCTATCACCAATATAATGCATGCCTCCTTTCTGAGAAAGTTTCAGCAGAGGTTCATGAAATGCTATAATAAATTGCTAGAACCACAAGGAAAAATGAACTGTACTTGATGTAAAAGAAAATAATTAAAATAGCAATATGAAATTATTCTAAGGGTATTCTGAGATAATCCAAGGAAATAGTTTACAGCTCCAAAACATTATGCCTGTCATTTGTGTCAGAATGTACAGTGCAGATGATATCCAAATGGAGAAGTATTGCTTTAAAAAAAATGAATCACAAAACCAACTGGTCTTGGATTAGGAGTTGCTCTAATTTATGCCTAGAAATAAAATGGTCTTGTTTAGGTGAGACTGAACCAAATCCCAGAGCATTACAGGCATTCTCCTTCCACAAAAGGGCAAGGTTAGAATATTGTGGAACTGCTTCTACTGAGAAATTTCCTTTCCATGTGGAGTATCTTCTGCTACAGCAATCAAGGTTGCTTCCTGGTTGCTTTGCCTCAGTTCAAAACAATTAGTTTTAAGGTGGAAAATTTTGCATTTATCTTGTTTTAAATGTAAAACAAAATAGTTTTACATCTAAAATGCATACTGCAGTAAGAGCCAACAAGAGAGACTTGGGCCCTTACTTAAGAAGAGATAAGTAAAACTTGTACTTGCAGGCTAAGTACAGACAGTCAGAAAGCCCAAGGCTGACCTATTTAAATTAAAAAGGCCGCAGGCCCAGCCCACTAAAAATTGGGCCCACCACTGGTTGGGTGGCCAGAGCTTTTAAAAATCCAACTGATTTCGGGGGACAAATCATAAGAAAACAGGGTGTGCACGTGCAGGGTTACAGGGCCAAAACAAGTGCTCCCTGGGGGGACACCGAGCAGAGCATGCCAGACAGTGCCCACTGGCCCTCAAACTCAGCTAGAGTGCTGGTGGCTACTGCCCAGCGAAGCTCCACTCAGAGATGTGCATGCTGGACACCGAGGAAAAACGCCCCAAGGTCTCCCCCCAAGGTTGAATTGATTCAATCTTTGCAGGTTTGTCTAAGCCGTGTAGATTGATCTGATAAGCAAGTGAACAGACATTAACTTTTGATTCCAGAAATGCAGCCACAAGCCTGCAATGGCTGAGGTGAGAAGGCCTGGGGTGCTAGTGCATGTCTCCCTGTTCAGCTGGAGCAGACAGTTTGGATCAAGGCTAGCCTGCCCAACCTCCAAGGGGGAGTTTGCAGGGGAGACGCAATGTATCCTGGGATGCTGGTGGACTGTGAGTTAACTTGACTCTGGAGGGGATCTGAGACAGATGTTCAATAAACTGATTTAACCTAAATAGGTTAAAATCTGATACTACATCCATCCAGATTTAATTTAAACCAGCTTCAGCCATCTTGAAAGTGATTTACATGCACTGAACTTCTGTTGTGTTACAGATTAGAATCAGTTTCTGATCACTTATACAGGTTTATGTGTAATTTCTGTTCCTAGATGCAAAGTTGTGGCATTTACGTTAACAGACAAATAAAGACAAAATAAATTTTGCATCGTCTTTAGAGAAAGAGAAATCAAATTAATTTCTACAGAAATTCCCCATCAAAATGAATTTTTCATGATGCCAGAAGAAAAGAAAATCAAATAGCCATGGGTGACTGGTAGGTTCCCCAGCAACTGATCAGGAACTGGGGGGGTGTCACCCAGTGGCTGATCGCTGACCCCAATCACAATCCCCACTCCCCGGCCAGCTAGAACCAATTTCAGGGGGGGCACATGCCTCCCCATGCCCACCCCCATGCATCGCCTATGCAAATAGCTCATACATATCTATGAATTTATACCCTATCACTCAGGGTGAATATAGACATGCTGCAGACTCGATTCATTTAATCAGCTGGAGCTTGGTAACTGCCATGCTCCAGCAGCCTCCACACCTTATGTATTAGCATTCCTGTGCTTCAAAGTGGTGGAAGGGGAGCTTGAATGAAAACCCTTCAAATGAGCTTTCATTCAAGCACCCCCACCACCATTTTGAGGCACAGGGACGCTGTTCTACACAAGGCGCTGCAGAGCTTTAATTAGAGAGGCTCTCAGAGCCACTCTAATTAACGCACCACCCCCCACACTCCTGGAGCACATGTAAAAGTGCCCTGGACTACCAGTAGTACAATGTTCATATGAACTAACAGTATCAGAGAAACAGAGAAAACCTTACTTTAAAATATTTTCCGTTATAACTTAACTATCAGATCTTAACTAGCTTCATGCAGATTTAAAAGATGAGCTCCTCGGTGTAACTGAAGCTATTTAAAATAGCTTTGACCATTTACTGACAGCAAAGTAGGAAATGGAAAGTCTGTTATGGAAATAGGTCTATGAAAGTTTAAAACCCTAGTACTGTTTAATATATGTATCCTACTTTTTCTTTATAATGGTCCTGTCTGACTGATATTCTATGGAAAAAATGCAGAATCTTTATATGATCTTTGAAAGTAGAAAAAGAAAATAAAAGGTCTTGAAATTGAAGGAAGCAGAAATTATAAGCCACCCTGAGTGCTTATGGGTTGCACTGTAGTGGCAGAA